GTGGGGATGCGGGTTCTGTGCAGAGATATTTACCAACTGGCCCTGGAACCCCACACACATATTGGTGGCTGCCTCGCAGGCCCGGCCAGGGAGAGAAAAGAAAGACCAGAAAGACCATATTTCCATGGACCACCCTTGGTGCCGTTTGAATGTTTGGCTTTTGTCAATCATTTTGCCAAACCATTTGTTAAATAGGTTCATCAATAGAGAATGGCTAAAAGAGAGGGGCTACCGTGACGCTATGGGATACCCTTGAAAGCGTTAGAAACGAGGGCGGCAGCTCTGCATGGCAGGCGCACTGGGTGTGAGAAAAGCAACTTCCTGAACAAAGGATACAGAATAAAGCCATCAATGTTTTCTTTAAAAGCACAGGAAAAAGACCTGCAAACACCCCACAACAGTGGTCCCCTTGGGGACAGGGGTAGGAGATCCAAGAATAACTTTAGCCTTATCTGTAGTAGGCTTTTATATTTTTAAGGAGGGTGTGTTCGTATATTTATAACATAATTATAAATTAATTGGAAGTAAGTCAACATCCTCCTAGCCACAAGTGGGAAGGTAGGCGGAGCTAACGATACCAAGCTTGGTTTGCTCTGCGTCCGAGGGAGCCCGAGGGAGCCCGTGAGCTTGCAGGGCCTGGAAAGCAGCACCAAGGACACCGAACCCACAAATCCCAGCGCTAAGGAAAGCCCCAGGGGGGACCCCAACACTGCATTCCCATCGCAACCAACCTCTGCTCACACCTCTCAGACCTGAACAACCTCAGCGAGGCAGTCTCTTCCTGGAGGCCATTGACCTTCAGGCCCCACCCTGCCCCGCCCCTGGAGACGAGCTGGCCTGCATGCTGGGGCTGAAGGCAGAGCCAGGGTCAAGGAGGAAGAACTTTCTAACACTCCCAAGTGCCCCGGGATGGAGCAGGCCGCATCGAGAGGGACTGAGCTCCCTGTCTCTGGAAGCATGCAAGCTCATGTTGAGCATGCACCAAGGGACCTCTGGTAGCAAGCATAAGAGCCCTAGGATTCTATGACACTGTGAATCCTAAGTGCCCTCCATCCCAAAATACTTCACGGTTAGCCCTTGGTAGACATTATCTTCCACGATCCTCACAATCCCACAGTCACCATTTTACAGCCAAGAAAACTGAGGCTCAGGGAAATTAGGGAACTTACCCAAGATCACACAGCCAGGAAGGGGCAGAGGCAGGATTTGAACCAAGGGCTGTGCTCCCACCAATACTCTCAGCATCACCCGTCCTGGATCCTGGGTCATTGTGATGGAACGTAGGTGAGGTTTCTGATCTGTTTACTCACCTACAAACCGGTCTCCCAAGAGGTAGGACAAGAGGAAGGATGGAAGGTGCCAAACACAATGGCACTGTTGCCACAGGACATTCACACGGCTTCTACATCTTGGGCCTGTAGGGTGCCCTGGCATGAGCCTATGGTCTGTTCTGACCCTCCTTACTACCGCCTCCTCCTTCCATTTTACCACACCCTTTAGCTCACACTTCTGTCAGGGAGCCTTCCCTGAGGGGCCCTGCTCCCCTTCTCCTCCAAAGCATAGGAACACCCATCCCCCAACAAAAAACAACACTCTCAAAACAGGAAGCAGAGCTAAAGCCAGGCTTTGACTTTCCAGATCTGAGTGCAAATCCCAGCCCTGCCACCTTACCCCACGACCTCGGGTAAGTTCTTCACCCTCCCTGAGCCTGCCGCCCATCATCTTCCTTCCCAAGACTTGGGGAGGATCTTAAAAAATAATAAACATATGGTCACGGAACGGCATCCGCTTTACGCTTAGTCTATAAAGGCTTTGGGGTCAGCCAGAAGCACAAATTAACCACACCTTCCACGACATTCTTACACCCTGTAGCCACACAAAAATCGATCTGCAGCATCAAACCTCCAGGTTTTTATCATCAAAAGAGTAGTCTCTAGATCAAACGTGCCTGCTTCCTTTTCCACGGTGCTATCTGCGTAAATTCGCCAAGTTTCCCCTTTTGCCCAGGCTGCTAGGAAGCTCAACAAAGAATAAGAGCCTTAAACTTGCTGCAAATTGCTGGTACGATGGTCTCTTTGGGACTAATGTTCACTTTGGAACTAGATAAGGAGGGAGGGTTGATACATCAGTGAACACTGAGGTTGGTTCTTCAGGAAACATTTCATACGAGGCAAAGAGAGTATCTCCTGCGCCCACGCCTCTCCTCCCAACACACACCTGGGCCATTTCACCACATCCAGGGAAATGGAGAAGCAGCTCTCATCTTCCCATTTCCCACCTCCTCTAGGCAGCCTGTCCTTCAACAGCGCCAGACCCTGTGCCTAGTGGGAGCATAGCTGAGTGTGATCCCCAGGGCACAGGCCAGAAAAGTCAGACCACTCAGGGCTAAGCTCCCCTAGGGAGGAGGGCTGTGAGATCTGAGCCCCAATTTCCTCACCTGTAAAAGGGGGAGGAGTAAGAGGATATAAAGCCCTTTGGGACCCAGACTAGTGGGAGCTATTATTATGGATTCCCAGCAGATGGTGGGACCTGTTGAGTGAACCCCTCCCCCCTCCCAGCCTCAGACCCAACGGAACTGCCCGTTGCCAGAGAAACAGCTCAGGAAGCAGCTTCTCCCAGAAGCTGATTGGTGAAGGCACTAAAAGGAGCGGATCTTCAGAACTCTGATGGGAGACCCTCATCCTCTGCACCCCAAAAGGCCACCCCAGTCACACCCAGGCCCTGGGAGTCTAGAGACCTGAGTGCCAATCTCCACTCCAGGACTGCGTTCCATCTAGACCTCAGTGTCCACATCTGTGTGATGGGACCCAACTGTTCAAGATTGGTCTGCTGAGCCCACAGAAGACCCCCCCATCCCCCGCAACGTCAGAGACACAGGCCTCCCCTGGAGGAAGCCACAGGTCCTTGCAGGTGTTAGGTGTTAGGGACAGAAATAGAATATTGAGGACTAGCTATAGTTACAAGAAATCATGCCCTGTTGACCGTGATGGCCCTGTTCTGATTAAAGAAAGGACATTCTAACCTGGCTGGGGGCTGGACGCCCCGGGGACCTGGGAGTCAACCTTGGAAGGAGTCCTTTTGCTTACTTCCCCATGTGATCTTCGTCCTACCCAATATAAGCTGCTGGTTTACGGGGGGCGGGGTGCAGAGCAGATTTTCGGGGCGGCCTGCGGCTCTCCCATGCTGCCCGCAGTATTGGATTCAACCCCCTGTCTCTGCTTAATTGGCCCCAGCAGTGCCAGGCAGCCTGCGCCCACTGGTCGTCTGGTTTCATGGGCACAGCAGGAGGCTCTTCTTATTGGAAATCCCTCTCATTCCACGTATTCCAATCCCCATTGTTCTAATGCAAACGGAGCGGATGCTTAGGTCCCGTCTACCCAGAGCTAACCCTGGGCATCACCCCAGCCCAACGCCATCCCTCTGGGGTCCCACACCTCCTGAACCCGCCAAGCACACGGCCGCCTGCTCAAGGCCCTGGGCTTCTGGTCACCCCAGAAACAAGTGTTCCGAGGCCACATTCACCAACCTGTTGGGACTCCCCCCAACTTCCTTTCTGCTTTCTGGTCCCCACACCTTGGCTCACCGGGGGCACCCCGCCCTCTGAACACCCTTTCCCTCCCGGGCCTCCGATTTCAGGGAAGTCCTGCTCCACAGCCACCTCTCCCCCATGACGCTTCCGGACTCAGAACTGACCTACATCTCCGCCCTTTCCCACCCCTGGGACCCGGCTCCCCGCCTGCGCCCCCCCCCCCCCCCCCCCCCCCTTCGCAGCCACCCAGAGCCTCGCCCGCAGCCCTGCTCCAGATCTGAGGCAGTCCCCGGCCGCACCCCTTCTCCAAAGCAACTCCTGGAGAAGAATTAAAAAATGTAGATTTTCTGGGCCGCCCTTCCTGAGATTCAAATTCCAATTCCACATTTTTTCCGGGGGTGGGGACCAAGGAGCTACAGTTTAAACAACCCCCTCCGGGAGAACCTGAGGCTGGGCTGCAGGAGGGGGGCTCCCAGGGAGAGGACCGAGAACCTGGGAAACGGAGACAGCACTGACCTCGGAGGCTGCGGGGCGCCAGGAGGGAGGTCTGTGCTCAGAGGACCCCTCCTTCCAGCCTGAGCCTGGCGACCTGCTAGGACGCAGCGGTGGGGGGCCGGCGGGGGAGGCCCTAAGGAAAAAGGGTCCCGGCCCACCTCCGGGTCCCCCGTATTCCTCTAAAAATGGCCCAGGCCCTCGGTCTGGGGAGCAGCCACCCAGCTTCCCGAATTGCACCAGAGGGCACTTAGTGGAAGAGAACTAAGCCCCCCACCCCCTCCGGCCAGGGACTAGTGTGGAGGGGGGACGGGCGTTCCCACCGGTCGGCCGTCAGAGAGTCTGGGAGGCACAGGAGTCTGGGCCCCGGCTTCCCGCAAGTCACCCCCCGGCGCTGGGCGCGGTATCTCGGTCCGCGAGGCCGGCCAAACCGGCTGCAACCCGGCGGCTCAGCCAGCGGAGGCCAGACGGGCCCGGCGCCCGCGGGGGCGCCCACAGGGCCGGGCCGAAGTTCAAGCGCTGGAACCGATGCGCCCTCTCGCTTAGGCCGGGGTGTTCTGGGGTGCGGCCCCGCGGACAGAGCTGGCCGAGATGGGACTTGGATTTCGGCTGGGTGCCCGGGAGGCTGGGGCACTGTCCTCTCAAGGGCGGGGTGCCCGCGAGCCAACACAGAGACCGAGTCGTACGCGGGGATCGTGGCGTCTGTGAGCGCGTCTGTGGGTGGCTTCGGGGGACCACCTGGGGGGGGTGATGGGGTGATGGTGGCCACTCTGAACACGGGCGCACCGTGCGTGTGCGCGCAGGGACGGCGACGGGGACTCTCGAGGCGAGAGGGTCCCAGGGTGATCTCGGGGGCGTCGGTGCTAAAAGCGCCCGGGGGAGGACACGGCGTGTGGGGCGCGTGTGGGCCTGGTTTGGGGGGTATGCGTGCTCAGGGCCCCCCCGGGGGCTCCCATCCCCTGGGGGCCCGGCGCCTCACCAGCTGCAGCAGCATGAGCACCCCGACCACGGAGCGCACGAAGTCCAGGTCCGGGCGCAGCGCGGACACCGAGGCGCCGGCGCCCTGCGCGGGGCTGCTGGTCCGCGTGCTCACTTTGGACGGGAACTCGGCCATCGCGGCTCCGCTCGCCTCCCCGAGGTCGCTTCGGCCGCCGCCGCCCCTCCCGCGGTGGGTCCCGGCTCCTGCGCTGCTCCTCCCGGGGAAACCCGCTCCGGCCGCCGCTCCCGGCGCTACGCGCGGCGTCGAAGGAGGGATCCTGGAGCCTCCAGGTGCGGCCCCGGCCCGGCCCCGCCCTCGCCGCGGACCCGCCCCTTTAACCCTTCGCTCGCCGCCCGCAGGTCCAGCCTGGAGACGCACGAAGTCGCGTCGTCCCACTTCACAGACGGGGAGACTGAGGCCGCAGTCCGTGAAATGGTGCCGCCACATAAGCTGCGCGTCCTGCCCCGGGGGAGGCCGCCTGCGAGGACTTTGCACCGTGGCTCCGAGCCATCCTCGCGGGGAACAGCTACCTGCGCTCTCCTGGGTATCTCCAGGGCGCTGGGCGCCAGTGGCCACCCCTGAGCCTCTCTTTTCTCTTCCCTTAAAGCGGGATCAGCATCCCGGGGGACCGAGCGCCAGCAGGGGAGAGTCTGTGTGAAGTGGGGGAGCCTGTGGCTCAGTGGATGTGGTTGTCACTTAGGATCACGCTGAGCAGTGACTTAGATCTCTCAGCCTCGGTTTCCAAGGGATAAGAAAGGACTCCTCACGGAGCTGTTGTGCAGAATAAACGAAGCAGTGGGGCGGGGTGTCACTTAGAAGGTGGGAGATGATGGCCTGAGGCGGGAGGAAGCCGGACAGTCTGAAAGAGGATCCCTGGTGGCTGGGGCAAAGCGAGTGAGGGTTCCAGGCGACACCTGGGCAGGGACCAAGTCACAAAGGGCTACTTAGTCTCCTGTGGCTGCCGGAACGAATGATCATGAACTTGGTGACTTAAAAGAACAGAACAGCCTTCTCACAGGTCTAGAGGCCACAGTCTGAAATCAGTTTCCTGAGCCAAAGCAAGGTGTCAGCAGGACGGCTCTTCCCCCGGGAGGGTGTAGGGGAGAGTCTGTGCCTGTCACTTCCAGCTTCTCGTGGTGGCTGCTGGCCTCCCTGGACTTGTGGCCTCATCACCTCAATCTCTGCCCCTGTGGTCACATTGCCTCCCCTTCTGTACCCATCCGATCTCTCTCTGGTAGAGACACTTATGGGTGGATGAAGGCCCACCCCGGTGATCCAGGGTGATCTCCCCCATCACCAACCTTAACCTTTCTTTATGAAGTAGAAGGTGCAGGTTCCGGGACAGGGCCTGATGTCTTTTGCTGGCCATTGTTCATGCCACAGAACAGTGGAATGAATTTTATTTTAGGCCCGCAGTGGTTCTCAGCCTTCCTAATGCCGCGGCCCTTTAGTACAGTTCCTCATGTTGTGGTGACCCCCACTTTCATTGTTACAAATTGCACATAATGAAAGCATAGTGATTCATCACAAAAACAGTATGTAATTATATATGTGTTTTCCGATGGTCTTAGGCGACCCCTGTGAAAGGGTCGAGACCCACAGGTTCAAATTTAGGGCCTGACAATTTCGAGTGGCAGGACCTGACTTGACAGTGTCACTGGTTGATGCTGACTGAATGCTTGGCCCACTCAACCGGATATTTGCTGCTCTCTCCTGATACACCTGACTCCCCCCCCCCCCCCAACTCCCGTCCCCCTAGGAGGTGCTCAGGAAATGAGGGGTGCTTCTTGGTAGCTACAAAAGCATTACCCAGAGACGAGCCTCTCTGCTCACTGCCCGAGCCCAAGTGCAGAACAAAGTGCCTGGGCAAACGCTTCATGTTATTACGACACAGAAAACAATATGACGATTGTTTCCCAGGCAGATTCCAAAACAATAGACTGGTTTTATGTTGGTTTGGGTTTGGATTTTGTTTTTTAGCTAATCCCACTTTCATTCCTTTCAAATGGCAGCGGGCGAGACTCAATCCCGGCATTGTTTTTTACTGGGACGTTTTCTACCAAGCCAACTTTGTTTACTGCTCCCCCCACCCCCAATCAGAAAAAGTGGGAAGGGACCTGTCCGCAGGCGGGGGCCTGCCGCCCACCCAGGGTCTCAGCTGGCGCCATGGGAGCCTAGATGAGGAGGTGAGGCCTGTTTATTCTCAGGGCTGGTGCCCCGCCCCAGGGTCTGAGCAGGCCATGGCCGTGATCACCTGAAGCACACGTCTAGTCTCAGTTCTCACTTCTGCACAGGCTCCCTACTCTGACCAAGCCCTGATGGGGCACTGGGCCTGCCCCACCTCGGGTGGGGGGGGGGCAAGCTGGAGGGGCCCTGAGCAAATGTTTACTGTGCACCTTGGGTGTACCAGGCACTGGAACAGAGCTGGGAGCCCTCCGACCAGACCCCACCCTCAGGGAGTCTGATGGGAGAGACAGTGTAGATACCCGAACCCACAGGTCAATAGATACATGATTACCAACTGTGATTACCTTACTCCAGGGAGAGAGCAGGGTACCTTGAGAAAAGAAGAGTAATTGGGGTTGGGGTGTCATTCAGGTAGCTGCGTCAGGGAACGTCTACATATTTAAGCAGAAGTCTAAAGGACGGATGACAATCAGGCAGGAAAAGAGCATTTTAGGCAGAGAAATGTGCAAAGGCCCTGAGGTCAGAAAAATTTGAAGAAAGACAGAAGGTTATGAGTTGAGGGAATTAGGAAGAGATGAGGTTCCAGAGGCAGCCAGGGGCCAGATCACCTAGGGTTCAAACCCTCAGCCACGGAGTGGGTTTTATTATTTAAAAACACACACACACAACAACAGACCACTAGAGGACAGTTATAAAAATTAAAATAGAATTACAGTCTCTATCCCACCTCTGGGTATATAGCCAAAAGAATAGAAAGCAGGGCCTCGAAGATATATCTGTACACTTGTGCTCATAGCATTACTCACAGTCGCTAAAAGGCAGGAGCAACCCAAGTGTCCACCAGGGGATGGGTATATCAACAACACATGGTATATATGTATTCCACAGTGGAATACTGTTCAACCTGAGAAAGGGATGGCATTCTGACACATGCCACATACAACATGAACTTGGAAGACATCCAAAGTGACATAAGCCAGTCACAAAATTACAAATACTGTATGACTCCACGTACATGAGGAGTCAAGAGTAGTCAAACTCGCCCTGGCTGGGTGGCTTAGTTGGTTAGGTTGTGGGTTCCATCCCCGGCCACTTACAAGAAGCAACCAATGAATGCATAAATAAGTGGAACAACAAGTTGATGTTTCTCTCTCTCCCCCCTCCTTCTCTCCCTCCCTCCCTCTCCCCCTCCCTCAAATCAAAAGAAAGAGAGTAGTCAAACTCATAGAAGTAGAAAGCAGAATGGCTGCTGCCAAGGGCTGGGGGAGCTGAGAATGGGGAGTTAGTATTTCATGGGGACCAAGTTTCAGTTTGAGAAGGTGAAAAAGTTCTGGAGATGGGATGTAGTGATGGTTGCACAACAATGCAAGGGCCACAGAACCGTACGCTTAAAGGTGGTAAATTTTATGTTATATGTATTTTATCGCAAAGAAAAAAAATGTTTAAGTCTTTCAGTTAAAAAGCATTTTAAGTGCACAAGGGGTATGTAGATATGGAAAAACAAGGTAATAAGTGCCTGAAGTTTAGGAAACAGTGATCTGGTTTCAAGCTCCTTCCTGTCACTGTTGGGACATCTGTCCATCTCAGAGGAGGACAGAATTTAGCTCAAGTTGCACAGTGAACTGGTGTGACCAGGGGCCAGGTGGCTCTTCTTGTCACTGAGCATCTCCGTGGGGTTGGAAGTGGGTGTGCCTGAACAGCGTTGGTGGGCTCTGTTGATGGCAGGCCAGCACCCATTCTCCGCACGGCCACCACGCCTGAGCTCCCTGGGACGGGAGAAGACGTGAAGCTCAGGGTAGAGGTGCCATTTGAACAGAGCCTTGAAAAGAGCAATTTGAGAAGGGGCATCATTCCAGGTGGGTGATACAAGAGCAAAGGGTGGGTACCAGGATGCTGAGTACGTTGGCTGATGGCCTTTGCGATGTCTCCGTGCTGAGATGCAGCCAAGGCTTGGCCGGAAGGGGCAGGTGCCTGCAGGGCCCTGCCAGTCTCCTCTGGGCCAGTTATTTATTGGCCCAGAATGAGGCAAAGGTCAGACTTGGGGTTTGGCTATTTCCTCTGCCTGGACCCTTCTGCCTCTTGGAATAGGGGCGGAGGTTGTTTGGAATGGGAGCTCCAAAGAAAGGGCATTAGGATGAACTATTTGTTCAGTGATCTGTGGCTCAAATTCCTGAGAGATGTGGCCAAGCCAGGGTTTGGGTGAATCCACCTCATTCTGCCCAGGTGCCAGCTGCACCAGGAGGTCTGCACCGGGACTTCCTGTTGTTTGCGTTCATTCATTATTCAACCTGCACTCCTTTAGCTCCTTCTCCACATTTTGTGTCCTTTGTGCCCTAGGGATTTGGGGGCAAAGAAGACTCTTACAGCCCTGGCTGGGTAGCTCAATTGGTTAGAGAATCTTCCAGATGCACCAAGGTTGTGGGTTTGACCCCTGGTCAAGAGACAACAAATTAATATCTCTCTCTCTCTCTCTCATCAATCAATCAATTTAAAAAAAAACTGGTTCAAAGGAGAATATATGTATACAGGGTGGAGCAAAAGTAGGTTTACAGTTGTAAGTACACGAAACACACAGTTTATTCTTGTATTATTATTTTTCGTATTACTTTTCACACAAACAACTGTAAGCCTGCTTTTGCCCCACCCTACATATCTCACAATCAAGAATGCTGAAGGGAATTTGCTAATAGATGCAAAACTGGCTTCTACCACAGGGTGGAATCAGTCACATCTTACCAATGTTCATTTGCATTTTTATGACCTGAATTTTAAATGGTTTTAAATAATATATTTTACTTAACGCGAATATATTCAAAATGTTGTCATTTAAACATGTGATCAATATAAAAAGTTAATGAGCTCTTTCACGTTTTCTGTACTACGGTCTTCAAAATCCCACGTGTATCTTACTGCTCGGTAGACACAGTTAGTGGCCACTACATTAGCACAGCTCCGGACAATACCTAATAATCCATTGAAAGAACGTCCAGGAAACATTTTGCCTTTTCCAAAGTCTTTTCCAATTTTTTTCTGACAGTTTTTTAATTAAAAAAAAAAAAATTACACGAAGTGACTGTCCAGCCTTGTCGAATG